GAAGGGGAGTTGAACTCTTGACCTCAAAAAGACAAAGCTTTCACAAGGTAAGGAGTACCATTAGACCAAAGATCTATTGGTATTCATACAACTACCTAATTCAACATATAGATAAATACAAAAGTAAATATGACCAACATTTCCACAAACAAAGAAATATTTTCATATAAAAAAATAATAATCTCATGAGTTAAACAACATATAAAATATGCACTTTCACAAAACATAACGATCCACGAATACAAGAAATTAATGTAAAAAGTTGAACATCTTTCTCGAACCATCTACTCCCACAGTGACATTTGAAAAAAAATATAAAATTATTGTTACTATATTGAAATGATATTTATATACATATATACAACAAATAACTAAAAGAAATTAGAATATAAATCAACAGAGGGCCACACAATATTTCTTTGAGCGTCTTGTCCAATTATGTAAATGGTATATAAACGAGTCATATCGTATACATTTCTTCTAATTAGTTTCACCAATACCTAATTCGTTTATAATCGTGTCGTGTCAGGTACACTCTTTTACTAAACAAGTGACTTAAGAAAGACTCAAACCCACTAATTTTATGTCGCGTTAATGGGTCGTGTCATATATTGACACCCCTACTTTTGATATAAAAAATTTACTTTGTTAAGTTTAATTTTTTTTCTTTGAACTAGAAATTGTCTTTTTGATGTAAAACTACGTAATTTTATAAAGTATTACTTGTAACATGAAAAATAGTTGTGGCTAATGCAAATTTTTTTTCAAGTTTTTCTTCTTTAAACTATAAACTGTTTTTAATCTAAAAAAATATTTTAATGTTTTATGAAATATTGTATATGACGGGAAAAATAGCTACCATAAATATAAAAATTTCTTTTGAGTTTATGAAATATTATTTGCGGCAGGAAAAGTAACTGTCTCTTATACAAATTTTTTTTTTTTGATTTTATGACACTATTTACAGCAAGAAAAATAGTTGCCACAAATATTAGCAAAATATTAGTAGAAACACGTTTTTTGTGGCGACAAACACAGCCGCCACAAAAAATTATCTCAAACACGCATTTTGTGACGGCAAACACAGCCGCCATAAAAAATTTGTCACAAAAGGCCCTTATTCTTGTAGTGGGTCTTAATTGTAAATTCGTTTTCATGCCATACATTTGACCAAACCAGTGCAAAATGAAAAAATCTACTTCACCTTGGTTGTTCCTAGAACTGAACATAAGTGATCATAAAAGAGAAGGAAGTATGGTGTGAAAACTCAAACAAAAGGGATGAATGATGTTGAAACTCAAAGAGTTGGATGGAAAAAGAATGAAAATCCAAGAAAATGAGAAAAAGGTGGGTGAAAAGAAGAAAAGAATAAAAAAATAAAAAGAAAATGTTAAGGAAAAGAAACAAAGAGTGCGAAGATGGTGTTAGATTGAAAATCCCATGAACAAGGAGATGTTTTTGAAATAAAAGTCTTTCACTCAGAACAATCCTCTTTGTTATCCTATATCCTTCATTTCTTTTGTCTCAATATCACCCCAAGGCCCCATTATAACCCGTGAAAATCCTAAATGATCTAGAGAAGCATGGGAGATGCATACTTTTAAAGAAAAGAGAAGTTGGTTTGCTATTTACTGCCCTAGCATTCCTTTCATGAGATTATGCCAAGGTTGTTTCATTTTCATGTGTGAACTTCATTTTTTGATTATATGTGAGCATATTTCATTTTGTGCACAATATTCTATCTCACATATACACATGGAGAGCATATCAGGATAACTATAGAGTAATTCATTGTTGAGAGACACCCTTGGCGAGGTTACATCGAAGCTTAATTTGGATAGCCAAAGTGAATGTGAATTCCATCTTTTTTCAAGTCCACGACGGCTTAATGGTGCAAGTAAGTACAATTGTTTTAATTGTGTCTTCTCAATAACCATCATGAAATCACCCCGCGACATTGACATTTTGCACGACCAACCTGCAATAACGGCGAGTTTCTCAACCCATAACTAAGGCGAACACCTTATTTTATAAATCATTTTAGCCTGTGAAAAGGTTTTGTCAGCTCGTATTTTAGAGAAGTTTTCCAGATCAGTTTTGCAAGCATGCCTCCAATTCTTGACCAAACAAAACAAGTAAGGTCTTAGCAACAAGATTTACAACCACAAAGACTCGGGGAGTCACCCGAAGCCAAGAGCTCACTGGTTAAAAATTCAAAAAAGGATCATTGCCACAAGGCATTCACCTTTTTACAAGTGAAAGGGGGGAAGGAGCATATAAAAAGAAGAAATGTGAACAAGTAAATACAAAGTTACATCTCAAAAAGAGAAATTCAAAGTAAGGAAAGATTGAAGAGTTACATTCTATGGAACTCACAAAAGAAAGGAAAGAAGTTATTGTTGGTCAGTGCGAGACAACTCTTCCTCTTCTTCAACTGGAGCTCTGACCTTTGCATTTCCAATCACAGCCACTTTCTCCTAAAAAATAAACAGAAAGGAGTCAAAGCCCAGTTCATGAAATTTAGCTTGAGCTTGTTTCTGAAAGTTTTCAAAGCCATCCATAAAATTGTTGGCCGACTCCAAATTTAAAACATCAAACTTGTTCTTCCCAACCGTCTCAACCTCTTCCAGCTTAGAAATCTTCTAGGTCAAGGTAATAGGGTCAAGCCTCAATCGGGTACTTTCTTATACCGCCATGAAAAGCTCCTCAGTCTTCTAAGTCAACTGATCCCTTTGTGTAATCTCATTAATGGTAGAGGCAATCAGATGTTGAGATAGCACCATACATTGTTTCTCAATCAAAGATAGTTTGGCTTCCTTTCATCTAAAGACGCCTTGTTACGTTGGTTTTCAGCGGCAAGGGTATTGATGTGAGTAGCATCCTAAATAAAAGAATAATACGGTTAGCAAGGTGAAAAAGCTTTAAAGGAACGAAAGAACAAAAGGATAAAGACATACCACCATCAAGCCATGAAAAACATTTCTTGCCCTATCAACCTAACTCAGAGTTGATGAGCGGTGGAGGTCAACAGAAAGTATAATCCCCATCAACTTTTGACTAGTCAGCTACATCTTGTATAAAAGACTGGGCTTAGTAAGAGGCAGAGTAGAAGAGCTCAGAGCCAACGATCTCCTCAGATCACCAAGGAGAATTGCTACTCCACAGTCAACATCTCTAGTTACAAGGGCATCATACTCGCCTCCTCGGGGGCTGGTTGGGATAAGAGGAATTTCAGGGCTCACAGGGGCAACCTGAGCCTCTTATCATTGTCCTCAATAGGAGTCCCATCTTGAGCCCGCGCGACGATTCTCTAGCATGCTTATGACTAGAGCTCAATCGCAAGTTATACTATCAACACTTGTGAAAAGGAAAAATAAGAATTTACGAAGCTGTAACAATAACCACAGCTATGGGGACCACAGGTGACGAATGCACTGGAAAATACACACCCCAGCACAAGGGTAAACTCTAGTCGGGACACAGGGGGGATCTATGGCTCGGACCAAATCCTAGAAAGGCTTAGCATCACAAGTATAGAATAGTTTAGAGGCCATCAAGGGAGACTTCTCATGGGAGGAATCAAGGAGTTAAAAAACAAGACAAGAAAGATGAGAAAGGTAAAGGAGCTCAACAAAACCAACTCACCCAAATTCTTGGGAATTGTCGGCATAAGTGGAACTCAGATAATTGAGGTAACCTCATCTAGGAATTTCCAACCTTTCCCTGACACAAAGAAAAAGCGATGTTGCCAACCCTCAAGCGGTGTAAGGAGCTTGGATATCAACTCTGGAGCACCCTCTCTTCGTGCAAAGCAATAAAAACCAAGAAGAGAATAAGGAAGCAAAGAGAAAAAGGAAAGAAATTTAGGGACACCAAGAGAATACTCCACTATAAATTGACACAAAAAAAATTAGAAAACAACTAATAAGCCCCATCCATCCACCGTTAATCTTGTAGGGCAAAGGTTGAAGAAATGAAGAATTAACCTAATAAAGGATGAAAAAGGGAATTGAAGCCCAACTTGGAAAGTAGATTAAAAAAACTCTGTTAATAAAAACGTTGTTATAACGAGTCATTGAAAATGGGGCATCAGCAAAGACCCCACTACGAAACCTCTAGCGTTCTTGGATTTTTGTAACATTTCCTGTTGTTAGCTCACTGGGTTCTGACTAATGGAAAAACTCAAGATCTATAGTCCTGAGAGAAGAAATTATACCATCTATAAAAGCCCTAGCGGCTGCCAAGCCAGCCTTGATATCCATAAAGAATTAAGGAGCTTACCTGAGAAATCTTGAGATTACGTCACAAAGGACAATGGCAAAAGATATCCACTGGAGGGAAAGTTCAAATAATTTCCCTAATTTTTTTGCTTCAATTCTCAGAAGCGCATTTAAGATGGGAAGTAAATACGAATGACAATTTGAGATATGCATCTCAAAGTAGAAGGAAGTGGCGCACAAATTTAGGTGCACGTTGTATCCTATAGCTGCACGGTTGCGCTATGAAGGCATAACCATCATAATCACGTCTCCTTAATTTCCTTAAGAAATAGAAACAGGATCTAAAAGCCAAGTTAAGTTTTTTAGTAACACCTAGAGACTTCCAAACTAGTTCAGAAGATGAGCTCTTTCACTCATGGCTCCAACAAGTTTCCTCAGCTTATAAGAGCTTCTCAGCTTGGACCAAATGATGAGCTTTCAGTTCATACCATAATTTTTAGTTTATAATTGGGGCTACCCAGCCCGTTTAAGGAAAGACTATCAAATCCCTCGACAAAACATTTCAAAAACTAAGTCTAGGGAGCTGCCACAGGCCCAACCTTGCAGTTCGACCAAGAAATATAGTTCATCATTGCTATAAGGAAAAAATGCCTTCCATTTAATGATGAGGACACAGACTCAGAAATAGTTATATAAAGGAAACAAGAGAGTTGTATTTCATCATGAAATAAAGTTTTACAAAGAAAGCTAGTACAAAAGAAAGTTTTACAAGAACTCTTTTCAGCTCAGCTCATATTTCTTCCCCACAAGTTCAATGGTATCCATAGATAAAACATCAGGATTCCCCTCAGTAGAAATCTCGAGATTTCCTTTGGCAGGAGCTTCAAGAAGCCCCTCAGTAGGGACCTCATCATCCTTCCCTTTCTTCTAGGTCTCTGAAAAGATAGCCACGATAAAATCAAAGTCTAGCTTAGGGAACAACTTCTCAACGTGTCCCTAAAAAATTTTGAAGCCATCCACAAAGCTATTTGTGGCCTCTTTTGTGAGCTTCTTAATTTTTGCATCTTGGGATTTCAGGAGGTCAGTAAGCTCAATTTGAACCCTCAGATCGTCTTCGTGATCGACCTTTAACCATTTTGTATCTATCTCGGCCTTCGCCTCAACAGAGTGGGCACAGTCTAAGGCTATAGTTAGCTTAGTGATCTGAGAATCCATTGTGGATGATGCCTCAATCAGTTCAACAATCTTAAGGTCTTGAGAAGATGATTCCTTTTGAAGAAACCCTTGAAAAATTCAGAGCTCTTCGACCTCATGGCAAAAATTTTCCACGTCTTCTTTGTAGGAGTCTAACTCAAGGGGCTAAGCTTTGTTGCGGGCGTACAGCTCTTGCCCTTCGACATCGAGGGCTTTGATAAAGGCAGTAGATTGCGGACAAATGAACTTATTTCAACAAAAAAAAAAGAAAGAGATACCCAAGAGAAAAGAAGAACAAGGGAAGTCTTGAGGGAATCATAACGCCACAAAGCCATGAATAGCTTGGGCAATTTTATAGTTGTATGGATTTGTCACTAGCCTACTTAGATCATCATTTGGAACCACACTGAAAAGAGCCTTCATAGCCTTTAAAGGCTGGCTAAGAAAGGGAGAATTATTTCGTACTCCCCCAAGGGAATTTGAGCTAGTCCCATTTTTTCTTCTTTATTCTTGATCTCTACTTTCTTGGTAAAGGCACAAAGACAGAGCTCAAGGATAATGGGGGAAGGAGGAAGAAGTATGATGTTTTTTCAAAAGGAGAAAGAGTGCAGCTGACTGAAACATCAACAACCTCCTTAGTCAGTTTATCCTCCCTAACTAAGGCCTGAATTGTAAGGCTTAGGTTATAGCTCTCCAAAGTCTTTGGGAGGGAACTCAGCCAGACCTGAGGGGAGGGACAAGGATCAGACTTAGGCTTCTTGGAAGGAGGAAGGTTGTTCTTCTTAAGTTGTTTACTCTATTTATGCTCCTCCATGGTATTCCTGATCATTTCTTGGTTGGGAGCCATCTCAACAATATTAGTGCGAGGAAACTTTTTAACAGGAGGACCGAAACCATATTTGGTCTATTTCTCAGTTGTAATGAGCTCCTTAAAGAACCTTAAACTGTGTGCATAATCTTGGGAAGTCTAAATTATTTCTTAAGTAGAAAAGGAAGGTTGATATACTATAAACACAGTTTCGATCGGAGAAAAATTTAAGGAAAGCATTAAAACAAAATAACGATAGGAATCCTATCTAAACAAAACTTAAGAGTGTTATGAAGAATGTCCCAAATATGAGGAACTCGAGAGGCATCATTAGAATCCCCTACCACCTCCCAAGCATCCCCAAAGACAAAGAAAAAGATCTCTTTCCAACTCTCACAAGAAGTAAGGAGATTAGAAATCATTGCTTCAACCTTCACCCTTTTGCCAAAATATAGGAAGACTGGAGCTAGAGAAGATTTGAGATGGAAGTAATATGTAAATTTGGATAAAGTGGGAGGCAAATAGATACCACACACTCGCCAATAAACTACTAGGCCTATTAGAAGGCCTCATCCATTGGGAGACTACCAAGCTAGACAAACATTATAATGACAAAGGACCTCACAAATAAAAGGGTGAATAGGAAACAAAAGCCCAACCTCGAAGGTAGTCACAAAAAATAGGTTTTCCCAAGAATATTAAAATTGCATCTTTCCTCGATCTTAAAGACATGAAACATTACTTCCAGAGGGAAACTATACTACTCTATAAGCTCTTGAGCCCAACTATTAGTCATACTACATCGAGTTGAGGCTGCATTGCAAGTCAAGTCATAAAAATCCTAGAGGGCTTTTTTCTTTTTCAGAACTGTTGAAGAATATGAGCTTCTCTTCTTCCCCCTTTTCCCTTTTTTTGGTCTATCGAATGGTTCAGCTTGAAGTACCTTCTCCTGACAACCTAAAATTGAGGCTTCAAGGTCTAAAATGGGAATAGGGGAGCCTAAAGGTTGTTCTAAGGGGCTATCCCTTGTCTTGAACAGCGCCACAGGGAATTCCTATTCTTGAACCTCCTCAACCGAAAGATTCTCTTCCTCCTGAAAAGAATGAGAACCATCACCTAAAAACCGTACATTGGTGTTTGAGGATTCGAAGGAGCTAACTTAGAGGAAGTGTCTGAAACAACTCTGACCATGGGAACCCCATTCCTATAATTATATTAAAATTCAGAAGATGAGAGTGACATTCTACAATCGCTCTAAGGTTGAGGCTCTAGAACCTCACTAAAGATATCTTAAACAGTAAAGGGAGACTAATGAATAGAGGTAAAGATGCGAAAGACCCTGATGAATACTTCAAATAGCAAAACCTAAGAACCATAAATTGGAACCCAATAGACCACCACCAAAGGTTAATTATGTCTAGGATGAAGAGAGAAGAAAGAAACCTATCTAATAAGCAGGCAGATTAGGTCAAAGTCAGAGAAGATCAAGTGGTATAATTCCGGTGACTCTTGAAACTCCTCTTTTGTCTCAATGAAAATGGCTGAATGTTTTTCTAAAGTGCACTGTAAGTTCAAATATCTTCTAGGTTTTGGCGGTTAAAATCCATCACGGACATTAAATTCAGCAGGAAATCATCAAAAAGGTGTCCAATGTCCCCCGCTGATAAAGACCACATGTACGCACAGGACAAGAAAGCCCTGTCAATTTAGGAAATGGGGACTAAACTTCGATTCAGATCCTGGATTGAAGACAGGGATGATACTGTTTAAGCTCGAATTGGGGAAAAACTGATGATACCATATTCCAATCAAAGCATTTTTGTTAGTTATAGCTCAACCTCGAACAACATGACAACGAAGGTAGAAGAGGAAGGTTAGCACTATTTGAAATTAACGATGTCCGGGCCTCCTAGACAGAGGACATTCAGACCAACAAGCATAATAACCATAGCTCGTGCATTGTTATTAGAGGTTTACTTCTAGAAAAAATAGTCATGTCACCCCTAGGGAATGTAGCATTTAACGGCACGATTTTTCCTAAACAACATCCCCCAATATTCTCCCCACAAAAATTGTAACAAACTGGGAGGGTCACATGATGATGATCGAGGGACCACCCCCTCGTGAATGTATATATAGTCCTTAGAAAGGACATGAGAAAATATTGTAGCAAATCTTCTTCCCCAAATAATATATAGACTCCCAAGGAGCAAAAAACTCTATTAGAGTGGACAAACCAAGCTTCAACATTGGTGAACCACAACAATCTGTGTGACCCCATCATTTATTTATCTGTTTTTCAATACTCACCATCTCACTCTAAAGCCTTAAGCTTTTCAGTTTAAGCATCATTCCCTCAATTACGTCTCTAATTCAAAATCCTCACACTTGCAAATTCATACATCATCACTTATTATTACGCAAAATTTTATTTGTGAAGTATTGACACTATCAAACTAGAATAATATATGTAAACTATAATTGCTATTTAGGACATTACGATTAACATATACTAAAAAATTAAATAGTTTGTCTCATAATTGTATACGGATTTTAATTTTTTATATTTTATTTATATTAAAATTGTATGGGTGAATATGTGTTTGTATGCATATAGTAAGACGTTCTCAAAGCACTCCTACTCTTAATTTTTTTTGAATGTTGATTCTTTTGAGCTCCCTGCTCTCATTTTTGCTCCTCCCCCCCCCCTCCCACTCTATGTGATATAACATACAAGTAGAAGTGAAAAATCAATGTGTTAATGTGTTGTAATTGCATCTGTATTGATGAGGAAGAGACCATTAATGATTGAAAAAGGAGGTTATTGATGCCTACTGTGAACCCAATGTCTACAAGTTAGTGATGCCTCGATGCGTGCACAAATGTTTTAAAACTATAGTGTGCTCTGTTTTTTTATTTTGCCTACAATATGATGTAATTCTACGATACCGAAAAAAAAATTTGGTATTGTATTGAAAGTTATTATTGTTTGAAGTTATGTTACAAATTTTTTAGGTAACTTCACCATCAATTATGAAATACCCCGAACACTTGTAACTTCACCTCCAAAAATAGTAATTTTACCTTTATAAGTTATAATTTCTATGATTTTTTCAATTGTAACTTCTATCTTTGAAAGGTGTAACATGACCTCCAAAAATTATAAATTTTAGTACGGTACCAATATCTTCCTCTACAATAAGACATTCCCAGCCTAATAATCCCTAGGGCAACAGGCCTAAGGCTAAAAGTGTAGATACACCTCACAACCATTGTACTTGCTATTTGGAATAGAAATAAATGTGAATGTATTAAGGAATAATATTTTAAAATATTTTTATTCATTATGAGGAAAAAATGGATGGTTGAAAAAAAGATGAAAAATAAGAGGAAAAGGGGAATTTTTTTTATTTGGTTTGAAAAGAAAAAAGGAAGGTGTGAAACCCGGGAAAAATTTTAACTTTTTCTGAAAAAAAACGGCAAAATGGTAATTTGCCATTATAGTGTGGGTTAAAAAAAAAACTGGTATTTTTATAGACCTCGGATGATGAAACGGACCTCACCGTTGGATTCGTCTCACGAAATCTAGTTACCCAGACAAATTTCGTCGAATTCTGAGATAGTCAGATTTTTCACGTTTTTCGAGGTGACAGGTGTTCGATGACCCCAAAAAACGAAATTTTTATAAAAATTTAAAAATTTGAAAAATATTTTAAATAAAGTTCATATAAAATATTTTGAGTTTAAATTGGTACGAAATTTAATCGTTTCGGGATGAAAACGGACCCGGACAAAAGACGACACTTGGCGCGACGAGGGCCAAGTGTTTAGAAGGTATAAAAGTGAGCAAATATCTGCAAAATCAGATATTTGCTCTTCATTTGGCCGGCTGGATCAGACCCAAGAGCAAAGAAGAAAAAATAAAATTCTTCAAGCTTTCTTTCGCCGATTCTCGGAGTTCCGTCGGTCGGAATTCGTCGGGCCAAGAATTAAAGTCGATCTACGCGACGAGAGCTACGCGTGGGTACCAAAAACAAAGATTTTCACCGAAGATTCAAAGGGAGGATTTTGGAGAAATCTAAGCTTTGGACTTCAATCTAAGGTGTCCATAGGGTTCATGTGGGCTGTTTTGGGTATTTCTAATATTTTTTCATTATGATTGGTGTTATGGAAATGGGTAGGATCAATTTTAGTGTGAATTGGTAGTTAGAAA